ACCTTCCGACCAGACATCGGCAAGGATGTAACTGGAAGCACTCCCACCCTGGATGCAACGGGCATAGGATATTATCCAGGAGACAGTGAAGTTGAAATACCCCTCCGCTCTACACGGATTCGGGCGTTCAGACAATCCCCTCCGCTCTACACGGATTCGGGCGCCCACCTCCCGGATACAACGGGCAGGTGACTTCCAATGATTATGCATTCGTCAAAGGCACTACCGTCAGGACACTTAGACTAGGGTTCTCACGCATACAGAAGCTATCGCGACAAACATTTATATGAAATAACAAGTGCGATAAATGTAGATTCAACATAAATGAACCCACCTGGTAGCGATCGAGTCAAACACACAAGAATAGTAGTCGGCGAGGTCGACTCGTCAAACACCTACATTTATTAAAATAGCCTTATCAAAGACTATTCAACAATTTACTTAGTTCAACTAAGTTCACGTAAGCATTCAAGCATGCATTAGATCAAGGAAGACACATTTCATAAAATATCACTTAAGTTTTGAAAAAGTTAACCCGGGCAGCGTTTTTAAAATCGACATAATTTTCAGCACACAACTCGTATGAACATAAATCAAATTGCATTGGAATCCTAAGAGATAAATCTAAAATTCTTATGAAGACACCAAAGGCAAATGAGGTCATTTAACTGGTGATAATCCAACAAACATCAAAATTTGAGTCACAGTCCAAAACTGGAAAAATACACTTGACTAGACTTCAGTAATTTCTATTTAACTGGAGCTACAGTCATGCTTTTAATGAATTTCAAAAACCACATGATAGATAACTCAAATGTATACAACGTTTCAGAATATCATATTGGAAAATAATCACATTAACCACTAGTTTAAATACAAGACATGTGATTCAGTAAATCTGTCAAAACAGGTATAATGAACCTGGACAGCGCCTCAGTTTTTAACATCTATCTGGAGCTACAGACCTTCAAATGATATGGTTCAAGTCTCAAAATAAACCTTAGAAATGCATCTACAATGTTCATTTAGAACACAGAAGCATTTAAGATCATTTTAATAGGGTAAAATCAGTTCACATTTCATATCAGATGTCTGCCAAAATAATAAGTTCCAAATCATGCACGTCTAAGTTCATACAAGCAAAACTCGAGTTACAGAGCACGTATCGACATGAAATCTATCTCATTTGAAAGGCAAGAAATAGATCTATAACTTTCATGAAGGGTATAAGTTCATACGAGCACATTACAACATGATAAACAGGTCACACATTAATTACAGATACGCTGCCGGGTAGCAGGAAAACTGGACGCGCAACATTTTTGTAAAAATCACAACTTATTCGATATGATTCGGAATCGAGAAATTCTAAATCCCAGGTTTAGAAAACTGAACATACTACAATTCATGTGAAGACCATATTTTCAAATAACCAGTCTCAGATAGCTTAAAACGCTGCACAACAGATTAGCGAAAAACATATTTTTCACATAAAATACCAACGAATAAAAACGGATGGTTCGAAACTCGACAACGATCAATATATTTTCTCGACAGCAAATAAACGAGCACATTGAGGTTTAACATAGTAACAACATGATATTCGGTTTAACGAGGTCACAAACATAATACGATAACCGAAACGACATATACGAGCCGGTAATAATTCTAACCAAAATCCGACTTCAAACAAGTAATCGTTAAAACGAATAATATATTTAGCTATCATGTAATATACGAACACGACCGGAATAACAAGGGGGTTCGAAAGAGTTACCCACTCTCGAAAATTCACGAGCTAACGGAGGAAAAACGGGCCGAATGACGGCTCGCCCGAATGGGTCGGAAGTTGGCTCGTGAACGGAACTCGAAAAATCGCAGCGGGTTTTGTGGTCGCCGGGAACTTCGCGTGTAGACGAGACGGCTATTGCTCCTTGCCGGTGTTGTCTGCTCGTGGTGGTGGCGAGAGGAGAAGATGACGACGATGGACTAGGCGTGATGATGAGAGGATGCGTTCGGTTTGACGCAAAAATAAAAACAGGAAGAAAAAATAATAATAGGGAAGATGATGGAAAAAAAAAATATGCAAAGGATTTGAGTTTTTCTCTTTTCTGCAAACGATTGAGCGAGAGCCAGACAGAGGGATCAGATCGGATCAGTTTTTAAACATGCTATACATGTGAAAATTTGAGGAAAATACGGATCAAGGCATGTGGATGGAAGTTTCACATCTCACCTATAGATACATATTATATATGTATTTTTAGAGATATAAAATGTTATATTTTAACATATTACCATAAAAGTTTGACTATCCTTGTTTACAATTACACGCACACACACATTCACATATTAATTGAACCGGGCTTTTTGGTTCACGCGGGTATAATCGGGCTCGATTAATCGCACGATAAATAAATGAAAACCCATAAATATTTATTTAATACATACATTAAAATAAAAATAATTAATAATTTTCAAAATATTCCGACACAAATGGGGCGCTACAATAGAATCGAAAAACTTACTCAAACATACTACTTAAGATTCGTACTAATTTGTTATTTAGAAAGTAACATATCTGTTGGTTTTGTACGTCGAATCTATACCAATGTACCAGTAATATGTCCGGAATAGGTTGACTGCAGGATGCGACATGAACAGATGTGTCAATGCTTGTGTCTCCTCATAAACATCTGTATAAACTATATAATTACTCTCCAAAGCCAATTGCAGAATTTGGGTACTCACATGGTTTTTAAAACCGAGCCGGTCATCGAACCGGTGAAGCTACCGGCTCAATGATTCACTGGTCGGACCAGAGGTCGAACCGGTCGAACCGATTTAATAATATATATATTTTTGTTAATTATTTTATATGTATACTATATAATTATATTTATTTTTATCAATAATTTTATAGATTTTATAGTGTATAATGACATTTATATAAATAAGAGTTCATAAAAGTGTAATTTTGAAACGCAATTAAAAATATAAAATAAATTATATTTTTAAATTTATATGAAACTTAAATAAGTTTGATAGAAATAAAACTCAAAAGATATTATATTGTGAAATTTATATGCATTTTGTATATTATCATTTTGAATTATAATAAACATTGCACATTTAGAAACACCAAACAATTATTTTAAAAAAAATGAAAAATCAAGAGTCATAACGAAGTTTCATATAGTAATATTCCCAATGGACTTGGCCCACTTCGAATTTGAGCATTTGTTATAAATACTAAATACTAATAACATTGCCTCTATCTATTGAGGTGGGCTTCAATCTCGGCCCAATTCAAATATATCCTCATAGTCCATCTTCTCTCCCAAACACAAGGAACACACTTAGTTACTTATCCCACGTTGAAAACACACCAAAAATGAATCTGCTATTTAAACAATAACATTGGGTGTAGCAGGAACGTCGGGCCGCTTCTGGTTTTATCGGTTTTCAACCGATTCAAGCGGTTCATTGCTGGTTTTTTACTCCGGCGGTCCAATACCTCAACTTGGACCGGTATGCTGACCGGTCTCCAGTTAAACCAGTTCGACTGGCAGGTCCGATCCGGTTTTGAGAACCATGGGTAGTCACATCTCTACCCTTGAAACTATCTTTCCGCAATTGATCTCTATTGTTCATATCCCTCAACAACTATTGAGAGGAATAGTTCCTTTCTTCTATCTCAATTACAATGTCGCCGGGTAACGTTGTCTTCCGGGTTTTTTTTTCTTGGATCGTAGCCAAAATTACTGCTGGTTTTTCCTAAACAACAGTCATATCACGGACAATATCTTAATCCGCTCATCTGTCAATAACCCTCAGGATATACAATCAATGCATGATTATGGATTCTGATGTAGCGCAGCGTAAACGAAAAGAGAACAAGAGATAAATCTCAAGAACTGATAAAATTATTCATAAACATTCAATGTCTTCAAATGAAAGAGACGATATAAATAAAGTCCCAACTATTCCTAATCCTTATCTTGCTAATTAAGTAAATAATAATACCTAGGAAAAGAGAATAAAACATAATAATAAAATATCTAGAAAATAAATAACTAAATTAAAGATGGTAAACGATCATATTTTTCCATATATGCCATCGCGATCTCGTCTCCATCAGATTCCCCTATCACCAAGACTTACACGGATCCTCCAAGATATAGATCGTGTCACCTGTCGGACTGTTATCCGAAACGGACAATTGAACACTTTAGTCTTTGAACTTCTAGCAGCAGCTCGATCTAAATCTCCTAAACTGCCTTTGTAATGTTCACCTCGCGCACACGACAACACCTTCATCCTTCCATCCTTTTTTGTGTGAAGAAATGACCAATTCAAAACCATATTGAATTGTCATTTCTTTGCTCATGTAATAGCTTCTACATCACTACCGAATACTTCATTCGTAATGAAAACAAAACTGTAATCAGTACCGTCCCCTCCAAAATCTTCGAATGACACCTGCAAAATATTACGATGTTAATAATTTTACAAGACAACCAATTCTAATTTATAACATACAAATATCTAAGTTTTTACAAAATAATAATAAATTCTACTTTACGAGATAATCAGTTATATTTTATAACATATTAATTTCTAAGTTCTAACATAAAAATAATAAGTTCTATAAGATAATCTATTCTAACTTATAACAAAAATAATTTCTACTAACATAATTTTTTTTAATAAATAACACTTAACAAATTAAAAAAAAAAAGAAAAAAAAAACGGCCACACGCGGCCGCAACCGCCGACGAGGCCGTCCGAGCATAGTCATGGTCGGCTGCATATTGCGACCACCGATGGTCATAGCCAGCCTGGCCTGCTGGCCGCCACCGCGAGCGATCGCAAACGCTGGCCGGCCGGCAAAAACTTCGTATCTCGTTATCACCCATTTTTATCAAAAATCGCCGCTTATTCAAAGAATTTACAATTTTTTTAAGTTTTTAGAAAAAATTTCGTACCTCGTTCGGATTTTTAGATCAAATTTTGCTGGTCCTACACGCGGCCCACCTGAATCCTAATTCCGCTAACTAAAATATGCGTTGGTCATTCAACAAGCAAAGCACCAAATAGATTTATAGGCTAAAAGTATTGAAAAGCCCAAGCACGAGCCCCCATTACTCTCATCTTCTTCCACTTCCTCCAATTCCATACAGTTCATACTAAAATCGCAAATTATTCATCAATCATAACCTCTCTCTACTCCAAAAAGGCCGTTCAAACCCTAACTGGAACTTTCTTTTTCCTATTTGACTGATTCACATTTTCCCTCTATATGATGCTTTCCCTCCTCCAGCACTCAAAGCAGTTTTCCCATTTCTCATTATATATCCATTTATCTTGAATTTTGGAGATGAAATGGGAGATGGAGGTTGATGAAATTGAAGTCGTGCTTGAGAAAATTTGGGATCTGCACGATAAGCTCAGCGACGCCATACACTCGATTTCTCGTGCTCATTTTTTGAATTCCGTGAAGAACAGGAAATCCGGCGAGATTTATTTTCCCAGGAAGAAAAAATCCGGGGACGATGACTTGGAGAACAAGATCGGGCCGGGTTTTGTGTTCGTGAAGGAGTACCGGGCTGACGAGGATGAGCCGGCGGTTCAGGAGACGAAGAGCTTGTACGCCATCCGCACCGCGCTTGAGAATCTGGAGGACCAGCTGGAGTTTCTCCATGTGAGTGTTGAAATCGTATTGTGTGCGTTCCCGTTTCTTTTAGGAAATCAGAGTTCTACAGTGTGCACTGTGTTTGTTTCTAATTTATCGCAGGTTATAGTGCCAATTGCGTTTGCCTAGATTTTGAGTTGTTTACTTGAATAATTGTGCAATTGCCAATTTGAATATTCTACAATTGAAGTTAAATTTTTCTTCTCTTAATGTTTTCACTGGAGTTTGGAATTTGCTTGTTTATCTCTCGAGTCTTCTGCTCATTTTTTCTGAAGATACGTGTAACTATAGCTGTTTGGAGAAGGCTTTGAGTTTGATCAATTTGTTATTGGTGTCTGGACTTATAGTGTGATAATACTTAATTGAACATTTAGCTTATGTCCATGACTTCCGTTTGATACAAAACGTTTTTTATTTTCTTCACAAATATCACTAATGCTAAAGCCTATTTGTTTCTGTGAATTTTGGTTTGAAATTTTGTTCACAGTTTTTTCTAAAGTGAAAGCTTATTTGGTTATGCGAATTTCGGTTTGAAATTACAATTAAGAAACTACAAATGAATTTATACTAAGGGATTTCCAATTTCTGGGTTTCAGAGTTGACTTTGTAAGTTCTACAACAGGGACAAGTGATCACATTTCAGTTGTTGGTCCTGCATTTGGTTCTTCAAATTAGTAAAATAAGCTTAATAGTTTGCAAAACCATGCAAAATATCATTTAGTTAACGGATAATGGAAGTTATTCATAGATGAATTTGAATTGAACTTGTGAACTTATCTAGTGCTGTACATGCAATAGGTGGCACTAACTCAGATTTTCTAGGCGTTAGAGACAGAGTTGGCCTAACAAGTTTACAAAGTTAATGTGCTTGCTGGCTGCATTGTGTAATGGGCCAATTATTATTTTCAATATATCTTCACGTAATGTGGTTTTAGTCATTGTGTTCAACATACTATTACGTCAAACTTCAATTTGACAGAACCAGTTTGGAGAATTTTCTCTTGTACTACCGTGAACCCTTAATTTTTGACATAACCTGTCTGGATGTTTATTTCTATAAAGCTGCTACTAACATGTAACTTTATATTTCGATCTACAGACCGTGCAAACTCAGCAACGAGCAGAGAGAGAAGCTGCAGTTGCCCGTCTAGAGCAGAGTCGCATAATCCTTGCAATGCGGTTGGCTGAACATCAGGGGAAGAACTACAAAGTCATTGAAGAAGCTCTTGCTTTAATAGGCGATGTACGAGACGCCAGCCGAGTTTTTTCTCCCGAAAATCTGTATGGATCGACCCCTTGTCCTTCGGGCCAGAGTTTTGGCCCACAGAAAGGGAAGAACCCAAATGCTCTTTTCAATTCCTTCATTTCGGGCTTTACTTTTGTTTCCAAGTCCCTTAAATTGGATCATGCTGTTGGGATCATGGGGAATGCCGCCTTATTTGCTATCAGCATGCTCGCGTTTATGCATTTGAATCAAGTTGGCTGTAAGGAAAAACACACGTTAGAGGGTTTTAGCCGAGAAAGCAAGAAAGTTTCTATTGATCGTTTAGAGTGCTTGGATGTTATGCTTGCGAGGGGTTAAAAATGGGGCGTTTTTGTTTGCGCAGTTGATTTTCGGTGTTGGTTTTTATAGAAAAATGGAAATCTGATGATGAATGGAGCGTTTAATTTTGAGAAACTGATGGAGGAAATTCTTCCCTATGTTGGTGTAAGATGAGAGATGTATGGGTGTGTGGTTTCTGTTAGTCTTAGGTGAGTGTCAAATTTTCAAGTTCTCTCCCTTTTGTTAATTCCAATTTTCTCAGTTTTTCTGCGTTGGAAGGGAGATGGTGATGAGCTTTCGTGATGTAGATGGACTTGATTTTGTATATAGCTCTTGGACCTGGTTTTTGTACTTTATATCAGTTCAAATGGGCCTCATTTAAATTTGATGGAAAAAACATTGCTTGTGCATCCGATTAGGTAAAATTTTTGAAATCCTTCAAGAGTGTAATAACAATAACTAGTAAAACTCACGTACTAGTTAAAAAATTTAATACTTAAATTAAGAAAAGAATGAAATAGATATTTTTTTATCTAGATTTCAAATACCCTTAAAAATATTATTATTTATCTTTAAAATGGCTCCACTTATGTAGTTTACTTATCTTATATTATAATATTTTTTCTAACTTCTATCGTGTAACGATTTTATAGATTTATTTTAATTGATATATGATCTTATTATTTTTAGCATTAACAAATAATTTATTTTTTATAATAAAAATATTTATTTATTTTATATAATATGAATGTCGAATTGAATATCGTCAAAAAGATGATTAATTTGATATATCATATATATGAAAAACTCATAAAAAATATAAAATACATTAACCTTTAAAATTAAATGAAGTTTAAGCTAATCAAGTGTTTCATAATTTATAAAATCTGAATAGGTTTTGATAGAAATCTAAGGGATGTATTCATGATTTTTAAAGATTTGTTGGGGAATTAATTATGGAATTAGAAAGTTCCTCTTCTTCAGGGTGAGATTTTCTCTTGGTGAGAGTTTGATTCCCTCCAATGCAGGTGATGATTCCTTTCGCATTTTTAGCAATTGACCAACCATCTCGGATTCTAATTCCTCATTTTAGGTTTTATTTTCTTTGAGTGGTGTCTTTTCCTCTGAGAGTAGTTTTAGGGTTTTTTTTTCTCTTCCTATTTTTAGTTTAATTTTTTGTTTCTGTTCATCTCGTCTGTGCTTGTGGGTCTGGCTTTCGTTGGTGTGCAGGTGACTCATGAGTCAACTACCCCCTATCTTCCTCAACTCTCCATGGAATTGGAACCAAATTATTTCCAATTTGTATTCTCTGAGTTGAGTGATAAACAGAAAGTAGCAAAGGGGAACAATTGGGCCTTCGAAAACCAATATATTGTGCTTAAAGAATGGAAAGAGAACCTCCACTCAAAACATATAGATTTCTCTGATTTGGATATTTGGGTTCAAGCTTGAACCAATACCTCCTCACTAGATCTTAGCAGAAGTAGGATTGAAACTGGGGAGAATCTTCCAAATAGTTAAAGATATTCAAATACCTCAAGGAGGAGCCCTAGCTAGAAAATGTTTGAGAATGCTGGTGTCATTTGATCTGAGACAACCTCTATCAAGATGTGCTAATCTGCAACTGGGCAACAGGAGGAATATGGTGGAATTCAAATATGAAAAGCTAGTAGGGTTGTGCTACTGTTGTGGAATTCTAGGCCACATTAGGAATTGCCAGATATTTCACGTAAAACCCTATCAGAAGGGAACTAATGGGGTTGGTTGAGAGCTCCTGAAGGTACTTCAAATTCTAATAGTGGCACATCAAACTTCAACTCTGACACACCAATCACTAGTAGGAACAGCCTTAAACAACCTTCACTTGATAAAGACACTAATCCAACAAACCAAAGCCTTCCTTCCTTGGAGCAGCAATTAAGCCCCCAACAGACCCTTCAAACCACTCGCAACATACTACCAAACCATTTACCAACCCCAGATCAACTACTTCAAACCACAAACAAAACAAACCTTATCCCTTCTCAGCAAGAAACTCCTCAAGTAGTGCTAGAGTCTGAACCACAGTTAGGAAGTCTTATTTCCAACAAAAATGGGTACGGAAATTGGACAAGCTACTCAAAAGAAGGAGCCGGAGCCTAAATATAAAGCCAATGGATGGAAAAGGAAAGAACCTATCATACATCTGGATCATAGCCCCAAGATGAACCAAATGATGACCAGAGGGAAAAGATCCTTGACAATTGCAGAAGGGAAGGATGAATTAGAAGGATATAATTCAGAGCCATGTGCAAGTCACACCTAATCTCCAGAAACTAACTTGGATAAGAAGTAGAAAAATCAAACTGAAGAGGTGAGGGAGGCCAGCCACAAATGGCTCCACCCCCATCAATGAAGACAATACTTTGGAATTGTAGAGGGCTGGGTGGGCCCTCTACAGTGTCTCAAATCAAGGAGTCTTGGAGACTCCACCACCCAGTTTTGGTGTTTTCATCAAAAACAAAGAAAAAAGAAAAAAATCATTAATACTGTTTGTAGGAACGTAGGAGTTGGTTGTAACTTGTCTGCTAGTGATCTTATAGGGAAAAGTGAAGGCATTCTTCTAATCTGGAACCACTAAGTGCATATCATTCAGATAATCAAACACTCTTTATGCTTTGAAGTGCAATTCTGGGATGATCAGAGAGCAGCTTCTTCTTGGGGTATCTTCATTTATGCAAGTACACATAGCAAAATTCGAGCTAAGCAGTGGAACTTCTTATTGTCAGCTAAAAGCAAATGGGGAAGTCATTGGTTGCTTGGGGGTGATTGCAATGACATAATTAGTCAGAGTGATAATAAAGGAGACAGACCCAGATCAGATTCTTCCTTCTCAACTTTCAGAAACTTTATAAGCTAAATGGAGATGCAAGAGTTGGAAATGCTTGGTCACCCCTTTACTTTGGGTAACAACATGAAAGGTGAGGGTTTTGTGGAGGAAAGACTAGATAGGGTCTTCACTTCATATGATTGGCTTGCTTCTTACACACAAGAAAAAGTCCTAAATACCTTCATAAGTTCTTCTGACCATAGGCTTCTTACCCTAATTTCAAGCCTTGAGTAGCTAGGAAGAAGCAAACAATTTTTCTTTGATAAAAGGTGGATCCAAAGGCAAAGAATCTCAAAAATTGTGAACAAAGCTTGGTCAATTCAGCAAGAGGGAACTCCAATGTTTTCTCTCCAATCTCAGATCAAGTACACAAGGGTTGAACTGCTGAAGTGAAGCAACATTTTCAAATCAAAGAAAGCAAGGAAGATTGACAAGCTGAATAAAATCCTAACTAAAACGAAAGTTTCAGACACCCTCATAGATTGGGACCTATGGGACTTAACCAAGAGAGAATTAGATGAAGCAAATAAGCAGGAAGAGCAGTTTTGGGAGCAGAAAGCCAAAAGCAATTGGCTTAAAAATGGGGACAGGGATACAAAATATTTCCATTCTCAGACCCTCCAAATTCTGAAAAGTATTAACCATACCCTTGTAACTTTGATCCTTAAATTTCAGAATACAGAGTTGATCTCCTAATTTAGACTAACAAGCTCAGTGTCATCTATAAAACCATTTCCAAAATTCTGGCCAAGTGACTGAAAAGTTGTTTGCATTTATGCATCAGGGAAAATCAAGCTGCATTTGTTTCAGGTAGGAAAATCCTTGACAACATAATCATTGCACAAGAAGTAATGCATTTTCTGAATAAGCATATGAGTGGTCAAAACTGTTACATGGCTATCAAGCTAGACATGGCCAAAGCATTTGATAGGGTAGAATGGGATGGCATCAGAATCAGTTTGAGTAGGTTGGGCTTTCATGTTAATTTTGTGAAGTGGATTATGGTTTGTATTGTTATTACCTCTTATTCCTTCAATATGAATGGTTCTGTGACAGGTTATGTCAATCCCTCAAGAGGGACTAGACAAGGAGATCCCTTGTCCCCATATATCTTCATTTTAATATCTGAATTTCTCTCTCATTTGATTTAATCTGAAAGGCTTAGAGGCAAGTTGAAAAGATTTAAAATTAGTAGAAATGGTCCTATTCTCACTCACCTTCTGTTTGTTGATGACACCATTTTATTCACTGAAGCTGATAACTCCCAGACCTTAATCCTCCTAGACATTCTTGAGAACTACAGAAAATTCAGAGGTCAAAAAGTGAACCTTGATAAATCTACTATTTATTTTAGCATAAACACTCCTCAAACCACTCAAAGCAAAATTTGCTTTACACTTCTTGGAATCAAACCCAATCCTCTTATAGATACCTAGGCCTGCCACTAAGAATTGAAAATCCAAATCAGAGACCTTATCTTATGTGAAAAGCAGATTAAAAAACGCTGCTGAACTGGAAAACCAAGTTCCTTTCTCTTGCAGGTAAAGATGTGTTGATGAAGTCAACATTGAATGCCCTCCCACTGTACTCTATGTATTGCTTCCTCTGGCCTAAGACAACTAACAAGACACTAGCTCAAACATTGGCTTCCTTCTGGTGGAGTAAAAAGAACTCAAACAAGGATTCTGTTCACTGAAGATCTTAGAACAAGTTATCACTTCCAAAAGAAAAAGGAGGATCGAGATTTAAAGATCTCCACCTGATGAATCAAGACATGATCTCAAAACAAATCTAGAAAATTATTACAAACCCCAACCTCCTGGTGAGAAAAGTTCTGAGAGCTAGATATTTTCCCAAAGACAACATCTTCTCGGTGGAAAAAAAGTCGAATAGCTCATGGATGTGGAACTCCTGGTTGACTTTCAAAGCCTCCATCCAAAAGGGTCTTAGATTTGAAATCATGAATGAAAAATCTGTAAGAAAATGGGATCACCCATGGGTCCCAAATATGAATGGCCTTAAGCTTATTCCCAATCATCCAGAGGCAAACTCTTATACTTAGGTGAAGGAACTCTTGGACAGCACAAGTAGAAGATGGAACATTGACCTAATTCAGAAGCTCTTGCCAAGGGAGGTGTGTGATGCCATCCTAAGCATTAAGGATATGGAACCCAGTCTGGAGGAAAAGGTTGTTTGGCAAAAAAAAATCTAGGAAAACTCACAATCACCTTAGTTTATAGAAAATTGGTTGATGTAAAAGGGGGGCTATAGGGGTGGCTGAAACAAGCAAGGAGCAAAAAGAGGCTAGTCACATGAGGAAGAGGAGTTGGAGCCTTAGCGTCAAAAAGGAAAAATCAAATATTTCATCTGGAAAAGTGTAGAGAACTTTGCATCTTGTGCTAACTAACCTGCTCAAACAAGGTATGTTAGTCGATCCTATTTGCAAAATATGCGGTGAAGAAGAGGAATCCCACGAAAATGTTTCATTTTCCTGTCCAAGAGCTAACCTGATTAGAAAATTGTCTCTGTAACGCCCCAAAGATTTTTAAATAAAATTCCGGACTTTCCAAAAATCAAGGTTAATTTTTCGAAATTCATTTTTCGATTTCAAACATTTATTGGTGTTACTCAAACATTATCACAGTTTTCTCAAGTCATATTTGAGTCACGGGAATCCATCATCCAAGTAATCACATAGGAACTCATTGTCCCACCACATATATCACATGCGATATCGAATCAAACTCATAATATCATAACCATAATCGATATCTCAAAATCAATCTATAACATGAGCATGTTCAAAACATTATATCTCAAGTTCATAACATGTTTCAAAACTGTTCACCGTAAGTTTTGAAAAACAATACATGAGTCATAACGGAAGCAGATCGACTTAAACATAAACAAATAAGCCAGAATGAATCATAAACAGAAAGCAGTAAAATAACCATCCACTTATCCTCCTCGCCATGCCACCTGCTCAACTTGAAAGGGGGGATTACGGGGGTGAGCAAACCACTAGCTCACCATTATGCACATAAATCCAATATAATAACAGATAGTAGGATCGCAGCATGAACATGAATCAACAACTAATATCACATCTCCCAATGCTCAAGTGTACACCCCTTATAATCGTTGAAGGTCGAAACCGCATCCAACAACGGGATCACATGTCAATGGTCGAACCCGCATCCAAAGGCATGGCCTATCACTAGGCTAGGAGAGATTGCCTCTCATTGGGTGTTGTCAGTATTTTTACTGGAGTAGAATCGAAAGATTCGTCCCTGGGTCGTATCGCAAGGAAGGTTAGCCAGATATTCTTGTGCGTTTATTCAATCACGAAAAAGAAAAGACAAATTCCTAAACACTCTAATTCAATATTTTTTGGGTTTCCATTATCAACTACTGATTTAAACTGAATAAAATGAAAGTGAAATAACTAACGAATTTACTGAATGATTAAAGTGCTAGGGAATCGGGGATAATTGCTTTCGGTTCTAACGTAATCACCGGCAATCAATTGCTCGGTTAAAGGACTTGAATCGTTTCTCGTTCAGAGGTTCACTCTCAATAACTCTTCGTAACAAGAGAGTGAATGTAAACGATCGACTATCAATTCCAACAACACATAGATAATACGTTTCCGAACAAATCTATTCTAAACGAGCCTAATTCGACCAACGTCTCCCCTCTCGGTTCTACACGCTGATTATCTAGGTTAGAAAGGTGATCAATCTACTAACCCTATGATTCACACAACTCGAATAGACATGAACAATTAAAGACACTCAATTATAACGAACCTAATCAATCACCCCCTATCCCTAGCGATTGGATTTAGCTACTCATAACAAATTTAACATCAACATTCATATAAACCCAAGTCATCATATCAACAAAGCAATTGAAAAATAACTTACGATTAATGATAAGAATCCAATGTCAAATCCAAGTGCATCCAAATCCAAAGTAAGAAATAAGAGTTTTTCAATCTCCAAAACAAATCAAAAGTGCAAAAAGATGAAAAGGAATGAGTTTCTCTAGAGAAAGAACGTAAAAAACAAAGCCTGAAAGTGAATAATCAACCCTAGGATCGAAATCAGCTCTAAAAATTCCGCTCCTCGAAATTCGCGCAGAAAAGTCGCGAGTCGCGACTTCACCTTCTTCCCGGTCGCGAGTCGCGACTCCCTCGCGAGTCGCGCGTCGTCAAAATGTTCAATTCCTGGGTCTGGTCGCGACATAACTGGCGAGTCGCGACTCGTTCTTCGGAAATCCTCTTGAGCCCCAATTTTTTCTGCAAGTCGCGGAATTTTCTGGGAACCGTTTCTGTCCGTTTTTCCAGTCCTTCCTCGAGTCTTCTGGGCTCGGCAACGGGTATTCTCGATATCACAGTCTCGGCTCACGCAATCCTAACCTCGACCGGCACAACCTACCTCCTGAAAACACAAACACGGAAAAACACGAAGCAAAACACGGCAAAAAGATACAAAAATATCAACTAAAGACAAGAGCACAAAACAAAAGAAATGGACCAAATAAGCTACTAAAATCCTACAAGTGGGGAAAAACAAAGAGAAAATAAAGATGAAATAAAGACACAAAAATGGGACAAACAACTCCCCCACACTAAGACCTTTGTTCGCCCCGAACAAAGAGAAAAGAAAAGAAGAGAAGAAAAGAAAAGAGAAGACACAAAACAAAAACGAGTCTGGACATCAGTCGATAACAAGATAAGTCTAACACGTTCAACTTCAACAATGAGCATTCAAATGACATATACGAACATAACACGACTACATGCTTGATCGCTAAACTTCAATATGACGTCCTCTCAAATATGGGAATGTATATATGTGCCTCACTCACTTTCTTATACAGATAAAGATATGGATGCACTCAAATTGGTCGATAACAAGTTCAATCATAAGCTTGCCCATTGTTTAACTTCTACTCTAAACCAATCAAAATCGAAACTAGTGAATCAAAAGGTCTTTCAGGGTTGTAACGTAGGCTCTTTGGACAGGTAGGATAAATATAGGCTAAGTGGCTCCAATATAACTCAAACTCCTAACCCACGAATGCAAGCTCAACCGGTTGCTCGAACAAACCGGTTTTTCCCCCCACACTTCTCCTAAAAACACACGTTTCACCCAACTTACTTTGTTTTGCTCTTTTTTTTTTCTTTTTTTTTGAGCGACCCTTTTTGGTCATTTTTTTATCTTTTTTGTCCCCTCCCATTCTCAACCCGAAACTCAATAATGTCATCATCACGGGATTATATAAGCAAAAATAATTAGGCTCAAAAGGGCAACTAGGGAATAACTGCAGAAAAATAAACAAAGATAGAAAAATACAAAAAATGCCTTAATCATATTTACAGTTCACAACCCAAATTGATTCATTTTGATGCAGACTCAGGGCAAGTTCTAATCAAACAAGAGCACGACCAATGTATTTCAAGAAAGAAATAAGGCTCAAACCTCACTAGGCAAATATCTGAATGTCAATCAAAGCCATTAACCAAACATTTCATCACGCTATGCTATACAATACCAACATCACAACTCATCGAATCCATTAAACACGTCTTAACTCATCATGAATTTTCCAAGTACAGACCCAAAACACATAAATCCTACACTAGACTGGTCCACAAGCAAAAGAAAGAAATAAAACACACCCTAAAAAAAAAAAAAAACTAGACCTGGTCAATCATATAGCCACATAAACTCCCCCACACTTAAAATCAGACAATGTCCCCATTGTCGATCCGCAGTGAAAGGAAGTTGTACTTACACAATCAACCGACACAACAAAAGAAAAGAGAAAATACAAAAAGAAACAAAATAAAGAGAAAAGAAAAAGAAAAGCTAATCGACACAGTGACAAGTCACTGTGGTCCATGAGGAGGAGAAGGAGGAGGTGGATAGGGCTGGCCGGTGCCGGAGCTCCACTGTGTGTACCGCGCGTCCCACTGACTCTGCCATAGCTCAATAGCCTGAAAGCGGGCATTAATGTCCCGCATGTCACTATCATAGCGGTCCTCGTAAGCCGTCCACCACGGAGGAGGCTGGGACCACCAAGCGGGTGGTGCAGATAGCTCCGCTAGGCGCAGAGGCGAACGTGTGGGCCGTGGCTCCCAGGAATCAGCCTCCGGAGTCGGGTGCCAATCATCAGGAGGCGGAAGGCGATGGTCCTCGTCGATAAGAGCCTGGTCGTGCTCCATCGCCTCCGTCTTGTGGGTATCCTCGGTCGCCTGCTGAGGACGAGACGAGCCTGCTTCAGCTGCGGAGGCGGACGCTGCCACCTTCTTCATATAGGCGCTGTAGGTCGGGCGCTCCTCATAGATCTCAAAGGGTGCGGCGATTAAGGAGAAGGCCCGCATGACTGAGCTCGTAGTAGTCAATGAACCGCATACTAGAAGGAAGGTTGCCAGACACTGTCGGGTCGACCTTGAAGTGCAAAGCTAAAGCGGTCACGATATGACCAAAGCAGGCCGCTGCTCGCTTGTTCCGAATGATGGCTCGACACTCATCCTTAAAAATATCCAACAGATCGCGGCGCTTCCTCTCGAGCATAGCCCACAGCAGGGCGAGGTCAATCTGAGTGACTTTGTTGGCCTCCTTCTTCCCGAACACACCATAGCACAAAAATTTGTGCATCACCGCGACCGCACCGTCCTTGATGAGGCTATTAGCCATGCCCTGGGAATCCCACACCATGGCGGGAGAAAGCTGGGGCAAAAAAATATTAGGAGTCATGCCCTCATTCATCAGTGCGCCGCCACGGTGGAGTCCCACGACCTGTTCCATGATGGCGACAGTGATGATCCTCTCCGTCCCAAGTAGACGGCACGTCATATAGTCCTCGGTCGCCGACATCTCGAGGGTGCTGAAAAACTCGAGTGTGAGGTTGCGATACGTCGGGTGGACCAAACGGGCATAAGCCTTCAAGCGCAACGCGTCAAAGTAGGTCTCGACGGTCCCTAGAATCCCAAGATCGGAGAGCAAAGCAAAGTCGAACGTCTTGGATTTCAAGACATCCTTCTTCGCGAGCCGGGCATAAACCTCTCCCTCTCGTTCGGAGAGAATAAGAAAGGGGGCATCGTAGTCGGCCCGTAGATCAACCGGCTCGTCCTGAGAAGTAGATGACTCTCCGACGGTCTTCTTACGTTTGTTGCCGGCTCCCTTTCTCACCATCTTTAATATGTAGTTCTCTTTCAAGCAATTCACCGAACACTTGGTAGACAAGCTTTTGAACTTGAAGGCTCAAGAGAAACTAATGATGATGCACCCAAAAATATGATTCCTCCAACAAAATTCTGCAACTCGCAATCCAAACAATGTGAATGTCACGAAAATAGGAAGAAGGG